CGGCCATCGAAAAGGCCAAAGCTCGTCACGCACACCCCGACTTGGAAGATATCAATTTTGACGATAAATTGCCACCGCCAATCAAGCCAACCACTCCAGGGGCCGTTGAGACCAAGAGCTACAATCACGGCTCATTGTCTGACTTTAGTGATTACGACTCATCCGCGGATGAGGCACCACGAGCTTCTACATCTTCGGGGCGACCTTCAACTTCTACGCAAGGCCGGTTTGACTACAAGAAAGGGATCGTAGATACTGAAGATTACGGTGGCGATACCAAGCAGGGCTTGCTTGACGATGAAGATCCATTTGCTGATCCATTTGCTGATCAAGATGACGTCGGAACCCCTGGTATCCCTGAAAAAGGGCAACCCAAATGGTTGGTCGCATTGTAGCGGTATTTATGAGAAGACTAATCGTCTTGTAGGACCGTATCGGTATAGACATTTTGCGATTCATACCACGTCAGGAAATCTTCATCTGATTTATAGCATGTTGATTCGTTCATATCCATTGTATATGTGTTTGTTTTATCACGTGTAACAAGCTTTCGCTTTCCTGTTGTCTGTTCCCTTTGAGTGAATTGGCATTCAAGCTAATCCTTAGATAATCGCATCGACGCATTGTTAGCGCCGACCTTTGGACTTGTACGGTCTGTGGCATTTTGCCAATTTCACATTGACTGCATCAATACTGACTTTAAAATTATATCCATAAGTCCCAGTCATGGATACAAACTTTGAGCTCATGAGGAGCCTTGCTCCCGATGCGTCCGATGAAATGATCATAGGTATGAATCAGTGGCTCACCAAAGCGCTAATGTACGAGCATAGGCAAAATAGCTGCGCTGAAGAAGCACCCTAATAACTTGGATGCTGCTGTGGGAGCGCTCTTTGATCAGGGTGATTTACTAGAATCGGTCAGCGGCTCACAATACAATCCACATTCCCTCCTGGAAGCACAAACAAAACTGACACTTGGGTCAGAATAATGACAATTTCATCGGTCCTGCACCTGCACCTTTACCAGAAGAGGATACGTTCGTCAGAGGAAGGGGTATCTTGAATGCTGGCCGAGCATGTAAGACATAACCTGCAATCCATTCAAGATGCTTGTGACATATTGACCACAGAAGATAGTGAATAACAATTCGCCGGTCCAGATCGACTTGACCAAACCAAGTCCCGAAAACACCACTTCCTTGCTCCCTGATACAACATTCTTCGACGCACAAGAATCCGACAAAGCCAATTGGGGAGTCATAGTGCCTTCTCAACCTCCAGGTCCTGTTCAGTATGGTCCACATCTTCCCAACTACATGCAAAGCGCACAACAGCAACAACAACGACAACAGGAAGACGACCTTTCATTGGCTATTTCGGCATCTCTGCGTTCCTCGATGTTGGACTCAGGATCTAGCTCTTTCGTTGAAATTCCTCTCGTGGAGCAGCCACGGCCA